TTTCCCTGTGTTTTAATTTCTTTAAAATGGGGATAATAAGACTGTCAGGATTCTTATGAAAATTAAATGAGTTACATTGGCTTTGAACAAATAACCTATGTACACATATAACACACATAGTATACAACTAGTGTTTGAGAGAATTCCAGTTTGAAAAAACCCCATGCACATTTTATTTATATAAAAAAATTGCAGATTATAGCAAGCACAGAACAAAATGATTGCTGATACACAGCTAACATTCAATAAATAGTCAACTTGTTAAATAGAGTTTTAGCTTTTGACAATGGAATGAATCATGTCTCAGATATATAAGCTAGCCACATGAGATAGCTACTCTAGGATTTAAACTTGTCTTCTAAGTGGATATATAGTTGCTCTTGTGGGGCTGTGCTCAAAGCGTTCAGCTGCTGAACAAAAAGGATGGCTGGCAGCTAGAATCCACCAGCCACTAACAGGAGAAGGATGAGGCCGTCTCATGTGTAAATGACAGCATCAGAAGCCCCGTGGGGCGGTCCTACTCTGCCTGCAGGGTTGCTGTGAGTACAGATCAACTTCACGGCAGTGGATATGTGTGGGGGGTGTTTTCTAAGTGGACAAGCTGCATGGCTTTACATTGTTTTTAAAGTGGTGTCCTGTATGTCTTAAGCAGACACTTTTCGACTAAACTTAAACCATGGCTGGAGGTGAAATGACTAGAGACTGGGCCAGGTAACGTTCACTTGTTTGGTGACCATCTTCCTCCCTCACCCAACGCCTGGGAAAGTCACTCTGCAGCTGTCCGTTTCACTTAAGAGAGTTGTAGGGACAGCGGTCCACTTAAGAACAAGTCCAGAAACAAGACCTCGCACAGACACCCCTCCAAGACAAAAGAGCCTTCCCCCCATACACTACCACTTCAAATAATTGCTGGTTACTTTTCAATGTCATTTTCTTCCATCTGGCCAGCCCTATCTTCCTGTCTTCTCAAAATTTGTCTCCCAGCTTCAGTTGCAATTCCAGACGCCTAACTGCTTCTCAGAGCTGTTTATAGATAACCACCCTCCCAAACGCCCTTCCACCCCCTCCCGGCTCCAGCAGCCTCACTTCTGGAAATACTTCTTTCCACACCAAGTCTAAAGGGGCTCCTGGTCTACAGGGTGGTGTCTGGGGTCAGCGGGCGTGTGGGGGCTGGGAGGAGGGCATTCTCTTTGATCCATCTAATGAATTAATGAATTAAGCAGAGGCGGGGTTCAGAAGCCAGGCCCCATGCTCTGGCTGAGGCCTGGCTGATTACCCGGCTGGCGTCACCGCTGGAGATAGGCAGCTCTGTGCTGGAAGAATTAGGGACATGGCGAGGCCATTCATGCCCCCTAATCGAGTTCTTGGGAAATACACATGTAGATTAGCCCCTAACAATGACCCCCGGCTGATCGCTTGAAGTGCCCTCCACCGAGCCCACAATGCCCACGACAGCTCTTTACGTCCAGCACAAAGGCCGACCTCCCTCCCCTTGCTTCCATTGGCCCTGTTTCCCCACTAGGCCCTCGCCAGGGCTGTTAAGTCTTTTCTGCTTTTCTCTCAAGACTCTGAAATAAACAGTAAATAAAAGCTAACCTCACCTGGGCCTATTAGGGAGAGCTGGGCAGTCCCAGAGAGAATTAACTTTGGAAAACAAGGCTCTAAGCCCCTTAGCAGCATGTGGGCAGCGGCTTAAGAAAATGCTGCCAATCTTTGTTTAGTGGTGATTATGGAGATCAATTTAATATTGGGGGAGTTTACCTAAAAGGCATCTTCAGCCAGAAGGGAAATAAGAGATACCAATTAATTATCCCTTCAGATAGCTTGTGGTCCTGAGGTTCCAGTACCCCAGCCCACCAGGTCTGTGTGTCTGGCATGTCCTCTGTAACTTGGCAAGTGTCTCCAATCTGCTCATGAGGACAGTGGTGCAAGATTTCACCTGGGCTGACACAGGAATCGCTCTCAGGTTTGTTTGTTCACTCTCCCTATATGCCACTGTTTGCAGCCTCTGACTTCATTTTTTTTCCCAGGGATTCAGCCCCAGGGAGGGATTACAAGCTTATTGCACACGCTAATTTGTGTTTGGATTATTTCTAAAAAAAAAAAAATTAATAAAAATTAAAAAAAAAATTCTGCCATGCTAGCATATTATAATGATTTACAAACAAGCTGCAGCCAGAAAACATCAGACAAGGTGCCAGGCAGTCTTGAGTTCTAGTCCTCTGAATCACGTATCATCTCGAGCCTCAGTTTTCTCATCTGTAAAATGGGCCCCCACACTGCTCCCTTTGCAGTGTGTTGAGGACCAAACGATGTGATGACGGTGAAGGAATCGGGAAGATGTTCATGACGACCCCCTGTGTGGGAGAGGAGAACTGCCCTGTAAGTTTGCCTCTTTGGAATCTGTATGGAAGCAGGTTACCAGCCCACTGGGTTCAAACTTCTAACTTTTCTATTAATACTTCAGCACAAACCACGGGAGAATGAACTATAACCACCCACCCACAGCCATCAAGTGAAATCTGACTCCTGGTGACTGTCACGGTCCATGGCTATAAATCTTTACAGAAGGAAACTGCCCAAGTTTCTCCCAATGATGAACATTAACAGTTCTGTTAATACTGCTCTACGCCACAGAGCGCCTTAAAGACAATATTATGATTAATGTACATTCATTTAGCTTTTTCTTAAAATAATTCCTGCTTGAGGATTCATAGCAATCTACTGCAAACCCCCATAACCTGCTACTTTATCTATTTTATTTAAGGTAGAGTTAACAGCATGATAGGCTCCTTTTAATAGGCTCCTTTTACGCGGATGATGAAGACGTTCTGATGGCCTAGTGGTAAGGAGCTAGGCTGCCAATCTGAAGACAGTGGTTCAAATCCACCAGCTGCTCTGCTAGAGGAAGATGGCCACTCTCCTCCTGTGAGATTGTGCAGTGGTCAGCAACCAGACTGCACTTGACAACCTCAACAACGAATGATTCTCAACACAGTCACACATCTTTCTAAATGTCCTTTTAAAAGTATAGGGACCCATGTAGCTCTGGTGGCCTAGTGGCAAGAAGCTGCACTCAATCACCAGATGCTCTGCTGGAGAAGGAGGGACAATCTCCTCCTGTACCAGTCAGATCTGATTTGATGAGACACACACAAAAAATAATAAAAATAAATTTTAAAGAAGTATAGGAGACGACATGGTGTGCTTCTCCCTTGTTTATTCATTTCTCCCTCTCCCAGAACTTTAAACTTCCCAAAGCCCTGCTTCCATTTCTTCTGTGAGGCTGCCAGGGCCTGTGCTGCCCAATTCTGGTCTGAATGTAAGAGAAACGGACCCCCGCGGAGAGCCCCGAACTCCTCAGCGCCATCCATTCCCACTCACGGCCACCTTTCAGAACAGAGAATTGCCCCTGCAGGTACCCCAGGCTGAAATCCTCGCAGACGCAGACTGCCACACCTTTGTCCCACTGAAAAGATAACCACACCTTTGTCCCACTGAAAAGATAACCAAACCACGCACCTGTCAGTAGGCAGCCGAGTACGTTAACCACTGCGTCACCCAGGCTCTAGGCAGAGATTCCAGCCTAAAGGACCCCACTGGGCAATTCTCCACCATCAGACTTGCTAGAGATCAGAATGGCAACCACAGTGGAGGAAGGGGGCCCCTGGGAAATGTTTGGGAAGCAGTGCTTCTACTTCTTGAAGAAAAAGCATTTGAGTTCACGTTTCGGGGTAACGGGTGAGGGAATCTGGAATGGTTTGCCGCTCCAGTGGGGTGAGGGGTCTGGGAGTGCGGGTTCACGGTGCCATTGCGTCCAAATGCTGCGCCCAGAAATCATCTCTACAGGGGGTCACTCTAGGCCACCAAAGCCTCGAGGGGCCTCAAGGGAGAGAGATGCAAGCGGATTACTCTGTAGTCCTCCGGGAGCAGGAGCCCGAGGCCCTGTCCCCACGTCCCACCCAGGGTGGGTCACTGCCTCGGCCTGGAACTGAGGGAGGGGGCTGCGACCACAGGAAGGGGCTCTGTACCCTCACGGGATGAGGCCTCCAGAGTGAGTCCCAGGCCCGTCTTTGACCCCTGACTCCTGCTGGGCACTTAAGGTCACTGTCCTGGGCACAGATGGCCTCCTCACCCGCTGCTCCTGGGGCGCGCCAGGATGATGGGGTGAGGGCGAGCTCAGGTCCTAGGGGACAGGAGGAGCGACTAAGACGGAGACACCCCGGGCAAGTCCACTGCCAGTGACCAAGAGATGAAATCGCCGCGGGGAGAGGAGGACATTCAAACTACAGAGGACTGCCATTCAGTCCTTGTGCTTCTGAGGGCGTTAGGCGGGGGGGGCGCAACTCTGCAAGGGGTGTGAGCCCACCCTGAAGGAAAGTTCAAGGTGAGGCCGAGGAGGAGGGAGGCAAAGCAGAGAGGGAGGTAAACCTTTGGGTGAGGCTAAGGGAGGAGGAGAATCTGAAGGAGTCGGGTGAACCCCCAGGGCGAATTGAACTAGAGGGGTGAGGTGAATCTACGTGGTGGGGGGTGTCAGTGAGTCCGAGGCACAGTTGAGGCCAATGGCAAAGGCGATTCGAAGTAGAGAAGACCCCCTGGAGCGGCCCTGCTGAGTCAGGGGTGGGGTCGGCGGAGGGCCTGGGCAGACAGCACATAGTGCGGTTGAGACGGATCAGAGGCGGGAGTGGGGGTGTGGGGGTGCTGGCCAGGGTGCAGATCTGGGACCCTGGCTCGGAGGGAGGCTCCCGTCCGCGGCGAGGGGCGTGGCGGGGGCGTGGCCTGCGTGCTGTCCAGCGCCCCGAGCCCCTGGCGGGTCCCACCTGCGGACTCCTCCGGACCGGCGGCCGTGGGCCGAGTGCTCGCCCCGCTCCGTGCAGCGTGCAGCGCGCAGCCCGAGCCGCGTGGCCGGCGAGCTTGACCTTGGGACGGGCCGGGCGGGCGGGACGTCGCGCGGCTGAGCCCCGTCGAGCCGCCCCCGCTCTCGCGAAGCCCCGCGCCCCATGCACCTGCCCGGTTGCGCGCCCGCCATGGCCGACGGCAGCTTCGCGCTGGCCGGCCACCTGCTCCGCGGCCCGGGCGCCACCCCCGCGCGGCTGCACAGCATCGAGGCCATCCTGGGCTTCACCAAGGACGACGGGCTCCTGGGCGCCTTCCCCGCCGAGCGCGGCGCCCGGGGCCCCAAGGAGCGCGAGCGGAGGGGGCCACGACCGGCTCAGTCCCCGGTGCCCGGAGGCGGCGTCGAGGGCTCCCCGAGGCCCGAGTACGAAGGTGAGTGCTCACCCCGCGCTGCCGGCCTCTGCGCCCAAACTTGGGCGCCTGCATGAGGGGCGCGCAGGTCTTGCAGCCTCGCTCCTCCCGAGTTCGCTCGGCTTCTCCTGAGACGCCAGGCGCGGGGTCCCAGCTGTTCTTGGGGAGCCTCTAACTAGTGTCCTTGAGGACCACCTAGCAGCCCTCACTGCTGGCAGGCTCCAGGCTGGTGTTCTCAGAGCCCTCAGTCCCTGGCCTGCGCCCTGGGACGTGGGGTGGCCCCAGAGGTGCCCCGGGTTGTGTCTGACTGTCCTGGCCTGTCCCCCAGCCCCTCGTCCCTACTGCCCCAAGGAGCCCGGGGAGGCGCGGCCGAGCCCCGCACTACCGGTGGGGCCCCCCGCGGGCGACGCGAAGCTGGCGGAGGAGGAGCCCCCCAAGAAGAAGCACCGGCGGAATCGCACGACCTTCACCACGTACCAGCTGCACGAGCTGGAGCGCGCCTTCGAGAAGTCCCACTACCCCGACGTGTACAGCCGTGAGGAGCTGGCGGGGAAGGTCAACCTCCCCGAGGTCCGAGTGCAGGTAAAGTTTCCGGGGCGGGGGGCGGGGACCCCAGAGGGCAGGCCAGAGCCCCGGGCAGCAGCCGGCGAGGCCACCGAGCTACCTCGTCCAGTTGCCAGGGGGCCTTTCCAAGCTTCGCTCGCTCGACCCGGGACCCTCCCATCTTCTGTGTTCCCCTAAGGCGCCCTGCAGACGGTCTTTAGGACCTTATCCTTGGGGACCTTATCCCTGTTTTTAACTAAAAGAGCAATTAGGAATAGCTTACACCAAACAGGTGGAAGTGGAGGGGAGCTGGGCAGGAAGAGAAGGTAAACCCAAAATCTCTCCAGGGTGGCCCGGCTTCCAAACAGCCCCCAGCCGCGTGCACCGCGTTAAACGAGAAACCCCGGCCTCTTTGCACCCGGTCTGGCGCCACTCGGTTGAAACTTTGGGTGGATTTGTTTAAGAAACTGACTTTTGCTTCTCTGGGGCACATCCAACCAAAATTCCCGCTGCTGAGGCCTTTTCTTCTTATTGTAAAGGGGTTTTCGCTTTAATTAAAGCCGAATTCTCTTTAATCCCTGATCATTAAAATATTTGAAAGCCTTAAATATTTGCTAGTCATCTGTGAAAATCTGGGAGGATTTCCAAAGGAGAGTCTCCAGAGGCCTGAAGGGGGGACACTGAGAATGGATTTCCCTGCATATAAAAGGCCGGGAAACGAGGTGGGGTTTTGGTGCGTGTCTAATAAATTAGATTTTCAGGAAGCGAGGACACTCGAGTGTTTGGGGCTTTTAGTCTTGTCTGAAAAGAAGGACATGCTCTTGAGTTTGTTTGGTTGGGTTTGTTTTTTTTTTTTTAACTCTCTCTCTCTCTTGCTCGATTTAAGGGTTTAAAGTAATGAGTAAACGTCATGGTTTCAAGAAATAGTTCCCTAATGTGATTTAGGATTAAGTGGCAAAGACAGTTCAATTTCTCCTAATTTAGAGCAGTAAAGCCGCAGTGATTCCACGGAGGGGGTGGAAATTCTAGCTCCTGCTTCCTGGGGCGGGGAGGCCAAGAAGAGAAAAGGAATGAACAGGAGAGAGAAAGAAGAGACGTGTGAGCCCCTGCGGTGCTGGCCCAGGGCGCCCTGCGGCCCAGCCCACGCTGGTTCCTTTCTCGCGGTACCTGTTCGGGATGCTTGCGCTTTTCTGCTCAGTTGTGAGATACTTGAGAGGCATCTGTGACTTCTCAGCAGCCACATGGCTAGAATGTGATCAAGGAAACTTGGGGCACAAAGTTAAGCTAATCAAAAGATGGGAGGTTGTAACCCAGCAGCCGCGCTGTAGAGGAAGCAACTAGCTCCCTTGCGTTCAATTTAGGGAGCCTTATGGAGCAGTGCTAGGCAGCTCTGGTGGCCTAGTGGAAAGAAGCTGAGCTGCAATCTCGAAGGCACGCGGTTCGAGGCCACCAGCTACTCCATGGGAAAAGCTCTTCCCGAGAAAGATGGGTAATCTGCTCCAGAGTGATTAACTGTCTCTGAAAACCCTCTGGAGGGTCAGCTACGGGTCGGTTCTGACTCTGTGATACGTGGGGCAGTGCTCTTCTGTCCTAGCGGGCTTTCAGAACCCTGCTCCACCGCACAACACAAACACAATCAGGCGGTGGAGTTGGGGGAACGGGGCAATGACCGCTCTGGAGTTAATAGCAGCTGCTGACATTATGTGCAGTAAGAAAGGACCCATGGCTGACCCTCCAGTGGGATTTCAGAGGCAAAGAGTCAACAGGGAGAATATTACCCGTCTTTCTGGTTCCAGCTGCGTTGCGTGCCTTGAGTCGGCAGCGTGCTCCTACCGTTAAGTGGCAGCAGACCGCCAGGACGGGTCTTCAGCCCTGTCTAGTTAGCTCTGTCTGTCCTTCTAGATAAGAGGAAGGAAGCTCAGGCTGGCTGATGCTGCCTGCGTGGCCTGGGATGTACAGGTGGTGAGGTGGGGCCCTCTCCTTCTCTGCTGCTGAGTAGCTAAGGTTCTGGGAAACAGCCTTGAACGTGTGGATGAACACTTTAGGGGAAGGGGCGGGGGGCTTGCATTGGTTCTTAAGCCTACTTGGCCCTGTTCTGCTCAGGTGTGGGCTTCTGTTGTTTCAGGTTTCCTAAGAACAAATCCCATCCGTCATCCCACCCCCACCACAGTTAACGCCCCACGTCCCTTTCCACGTCCCTCTCCAGTCCTCCTCACTTCCCCGTGCTTTCTTGACTTTCCCGTGCTTTCTTGACTTTCCCCTAACCAGGCCCATTCTCTGTGCTCTGTTTTTGAGGGTCTCTAGCTCACTAATTACACACCCTATTAAGCATTTCACTATCAGGAGTTCAGTATAAGAAACAAGAATTCATCTTGGCAAAGACTTTGTTTCTATGTGTAAAGAAACAAATACATTTGCAATAAAACACGGTGACATCTAGATTAAATGTGAAAACTCCGTAATGTAAAACAGAGATACTAAACAAGCTAGTAAAATCTTTGCAAATAATTTAAAAATCTGAAATAACAATCAGATAGTAATTAAATAAAAGTGACATGTTCAAACACGAGGGTAAAGGCCCATTTGCTTTTGTGAAGCCGTTATAACCAGTCGTCGGAGAAAATGGCTGGGTGGTAAGGTTTGTGGTTTGCCCATCGAGGGGCTAATTGCACCTATGTTTGTAATCAAGGCAGAGGGTACATAAAAGCGCGAAGTCAGAGCCTAATATGCAGCTATGAGAACAGCGAGGAAGCTGGCTGAACTGATGCTTCAAGGAGTTGTCAGTCCGCAGTTCAAGGAGCTGAAATTGCCGAGATATGCTTCCCAAATCCTCTCCCGATTCCAGGCTTAATTTCACTTTGTTATGCCACAGGATTTGGAAGCAGATTCATTTGTGGGAGAGTGTAGGGCAGTGGGGAGAGATGGAGTGATGCGGGTGGAAAACAGAGGTCGTGGGGTGCAGGAAGGAAGATCAGAGGCTCCAGGCTCCAGGGTCGCCCAGTCCGGGGAAAGGGGAATGTAGTGGGGACAATGACACCCATTGGTGGGGATGATGGAAGTGGGGTCAATGGAGGTGGGGACAGTGGAGGTGGGGACAATGGAGGTAGGGTTGGTGGAGGTGAGGACAGTGGAGTTGGGGACAGTGACACCCATTGGTGGGGACAGTGGAGGTGGGGTTGGTGGAGGTGGGGACAGTGGAGGTGGGGTTGGTGGAGGTGGGGACAGTGGAGGTGGGGTTGGTGGAAGTGGGGACA